TGTGGGTGCTGGGAACTGAACCCAGATCCTCTGTAAGAGTAGCCAGTGCTCTCAACTGCTGAGCCATTTTTCCAGCCTTGAGACTTCATCTTGAAAAAGGGAGTAAAAGAGGCTCTTTGGGGGTTGGGAGAAATCAGATATAATGTATACACATGGAATTCCTTGTGAAATTTATCAGACACAGTCAGGGAAATAGGATTTTTTTATACTTTTCTTATAATAACTGCATGTATTAATGGGTGAGTAGAGCTACATGAAACAGCTGTCAGAGTATTAGTAATTGTTGAAAATAAATACATAGAGGTTATGACATTGGTCTCACTACATTTTATATATTTGAAATTTTTCATAGTAAGTTAAAATAAAGTTGAATGTGCTACTAATAGGTGATGCATAGAAAATAATGAGGAACTAAATGGAAAAGTGTTTCATACAGCTAGAGAGCTTTTTTTCCTGGTGCTATTCGTTTTATTTTTTCAGATGAAGTTCCCCTTTCCACTGGAACGGGAGTGTTCTTGTTGCTACAATCTACTTGCACACAGCATCCTGATCACATGCACCACTGGTATTCGTTGTGCCACTTAGATTTTGTTCAGGAACAGAAATGGAATCACTTTACTAAGCTGTTAGTTCTTGGTGACTGCACAGATAAAGAATCTTTGGTACTGAGTTTACTAGCTGATGTGGCAGACTTCTGTTTTAAAATTGTCAACAGGGGAAAACAAATAGAGGAAACAATACATGATAACAAGAATTTGTCCGTTTTAAAATGACTGAAGGAAAGTACATAATTAGCTTGAAATGCAGAGCAGTGAATCAGAACAGTAGCTGCTTGTGGGGACAGATCAATGGACCGTGAAAGCCATCACCCATCACCATAACCTACATTTTTTTCTATCAAGAGATTTGCAGCTGACCGTCGAGTGACTCATTCCTTTGCTTAGAGGATGAGGTAATGCCATTGTGAGAGGTGATGTCATCTCTACCTGAACTGCATGCATATAGATCGATGCTGAGGCTCTCAAGGAAAAGCACCATCTGCTTTCACATACACAGCCTGAAAGGCTTTGCAGAGATTGGTGCAAAGGTCAGCAGCCATGTGTATGACTCATAGGCAGCCAATCAGGGGAGAGCAGCTATTGAAAAGTAAACTTCTAAAATCATAATCCAGAAATATGAAATGATGACTCAATACTGAATCATAATTCTTTTGTTTTGTTTTCTTATGTTCTGCATTTGCTGAATTACCACTTTGGAGGTTTAACTCTTAAGGCAATTTTCTGAGTAGGATCAATCATCTCAAACCTTCTTGGTTGTTTAAAACTTTCTTTGTAATTGGTAAGTTTTCTGTTACTTTTGGAGGTGCCTAGAACATTCTTGAATCTCACTCCACATTGGTTTGACAGTTAGTTCTCTGCAGCCAGAGCCTCTGTGCTCCCTGTGGCTCTGCTGCTGCTTTAGAGAAAAGAGTAAGAGGAAACGCGTCAAGGGAGCTGAGCTCTGCTTGTGCAGACACGATGGTTCCTCCTTTGCTTTAGTGATGCACTCTGGCTTTGACTTTACTACAATTTGATTCTGCCATGCTAGTGAGCAGAATATCAGATTCCTAACATATTATGGAAGGCAGACGACAGTTAATACCTGATTTTCTGATTTGTACCTTGAAATGGAAGATCATCTACATATTATTATACAATAATGCATACTGTGGCACAAATTGGTTTTAATGTCAACTTTAATTTGGACATTCTATAAAAGATACAAAGAGAACGTTTAGTTTTTTTAATATTCTGTTATCAAGAAATATAAAGAAGTAAAGAATAAAATCTCAAACTCTAAAGTAATATTAGGTGGGATACATACCAATATCTTTTGAGAACTTATGAAAAATCAGGTGTTAGCCAGACATGATGCTCATTCCTTGTGATCTCAGCACTTGGGAGGCTAAGGCAGGAGAGGGCTAGCCTGGGCTATATAGTTAATTCCAGGGAAGCCTGGGCTAAGGTATGAAAACTGTATCTCAAACAACAAAAGACTATACAAATATCCTACTTCTTGTCAAAATTTCTGCCTAGAATTAACACATTGATAATTCTTATCCTACCTAAACTTTGCTCTCATGACTACAAGATGCTAATTTTTCCAACTTCAGTCTTATCCTTTCTTTCATACAGTACTCATTCTATTTTTTATTACTCTGAACTCAGGAATTCCTGTTACTGGTATGGGGTTTGTTGTTATTATTGTTGTTGTTTTCTAGTACTCCTTAAATGGTTTGGATGTGACCAGTGGCATGCCTCCTCCCTTGCTCTTTGAAATAATAAGATGGTAATGACTCATCTTGTCCCTGCTGTGCCTCGGCCCCACACTCAGCCATTTCTCTGAGGAGCGTGCTTCATTTTGGTGGAGAAATAAAATCTGAGCTTTCATGTTGAACGCATTACTTTAACAGCCATTGGATACAAACAAGTGTATAAACATTACGAATGTGCCTGGTGCATATTTCTGTAATAAACAATTTTTGAGAACATAACAGGGTCTCAACTTTAGTTACCAGAGGAAGTACAGAAGAAAACTGGGTACAGTACAGCTCAGTGGAAGAACCACTGCCCAGTATTCATGAGGCCATAGGTTCAGTCCCCATCACAGCAAAAATAGAGACGTGAAAATCAAGTCTTTGCTGGGGATCTAGCTCAGTACTTAAGTGCTTGCCTGGGATGCTTAGGAACTTTGAATCAGTCCTAGCTCCTCAAAAACAAGAGTAAAGTATCATACTATGGAGTGGAAAAATTTGTGTCAGCAAGTGTACGTACACTGCCAATGCTTTCCCAGATTTCAAAACAGAAGCAGAAGTGACTCCAGGTTGGAGGCCAGGTAGGATTTGAGTGGACAGAGTTTCTGTAAGAAAGTGTTAGCTGGTGCAGCTGTTAAAGGCTCGGGCTCACAACCAAAAGAAAGTGTTCATGGAAAAGAAAGGACATTGCCAATGGCATAAACTAACAGTAGCCAGAACGTAAATTGTTATGTTTAAGTAACCGTATCAGATTCCTGCTCGCTTGGGAAAAAGTGAGAGATAGTGACAGGAAGGTTGTTGGAGGTCATACTAAACGACTTTGACTGTCCTCTAAAGGATTTTGATTGTTTAGGTTTTGGAGACTTTAGTAAGAAGATAATAGAGAGCCATAGAAGATTTTTGAATAGTGTCATAACAAGCTTAACTGACGCAGAGTGATTAGTCTAAAAGATACATCAGCTGAGACAGAGGAAATTTCCAGTTAAGGACTATAAGGAGGTCATCATGATAGTTCAGGCCAGAGATGATAAGGGTTTGAGCTAGAATATGAAAGTGAATTAGGATAGTGGTCTTCCAGAACCCCAAAGTTTAAGACAAACAGGAAGAATGGGGTGGGTGAATTGAGCTTTAATTTTTTTTAAGTTTTTTTTTTAAGTTGTTTTGATTTTATTTATTTATTTAATTTATTATTTATTTATTTACTTATTTGGATACAGGGTCTCCCTGTAGCCTCATCTGACCTGGAACTCACTATGTAGACCAGACTGGCCTCCATCTCACAGAGATCTACCTGCTTCTGTCTCTTGCTGAGTGCTGGGATTAAAGGCGCCTCAAACTTAGAACTCAGAGAAAGCATTCTGCTGCTGAAGGAACCAAAACTTGCACAGGGGAATTTTGTGTTAAAAGCTGACAAAGCTCACATGAAGGGTTTGTTTTGCACATGTGTTTTTTGTTTTGTTTTTCTTTTTGTTTTGTCTGTGTGCTTTCTGTTTTGAAGATAGCAGTTATGTCATTAATTGGAGTGAGGGAAGCTTTTTTTTTTAATGCCCAGAGGAAAGTCAATGCCATAAAGATTTATACTGAAATTTATAAGATATCCTTGGCCAGAAGCCTTGGGGTCGTGCGGTGGATCCCTTTCTCTTGCCCATGCTACTGAGAGAATCTACCATGAAACCTTAAGTCACTTCCTAGATCTGACCACCTTCCTTCCCGCCACTGCTGCCAGCTAGTCTCTTGCCTTCCACCTGCCATGCCTGCCTTCATGATTGCCCCTCAGCCTGTTCACATCCCTGTGGTGCCTCAGTTATGACAGGTTCACTTCCAGCTAAGGGCCTTTGCAAGCTTGTTCCCCAGATATCAGCATGGTCTGATCGCTCATGTTGAGAACACGGCCCAGCTAGTAACTTTCTCAGAGGATCTGCCCAAGCTCTTTTCTGACAGTCCCTTCCCCACTCAACCCACATTTTCCTCTGCCCCTTTATCTCATTCTACCCCCCTTGGTATCTATTACTAGCATACTCCATACAGTTTACTTATTTATGACGTTGTTTGTCTACTGACATAGAGTTCAGGCTCTACAGGGAAGTGATTTTTGTTTGTCTACTTGTCTCTCCTGACCACCAACACTGATCACATAAGCAGGCCATCCCTAAATATTTTGAAGAAGGAAAGATGACTACACAGATAGAAAGTGTAGGAGCTTGGTTACCAGCCACCAGCTCACAGCAGATTTGAGAAAGTAAATAAAGAAAAAGAACTGGCATCTCTAACTCCATATTCCTTCAGCCTGAGTCTGTGACAGTAACTGGCCTGAATAAAATAGGCCTAGAAAATAATGTCCACTTATTAGAAAATCATATTGTACAGTAGCATATTAATGGTTGTAAAAACTATAGTAACCAAAAAAGAAAAAACCTACAGTAACCTCTTTTGACCTAACTGGATCCCCAGACTCTCTTTTGGCAACTCACCCAGCAGTATGAGACCTTCTTGGTACATAGCAGAGTTTGAGAAAAACCTTGCTGGCCTGTCATGTGTAGGCCCTGGACGTGACCAGCAGTTCTTTTCAATGACTTGCTTGGTAGACTACACTGTTTCATGTGTTGCTCAGAGGTAAGCTGGGGTCCATAAATTGGGCTCAAGATTCCAGATCTTAGTTACTGTTCTTAAAGGTGTCAGGCTTTTAAAAAATTGGCTTTTGTTTTAGGTATTTGGGAATAAGATGATCATTCCGTCCCTGGATGGAGACCTCTTCCAGTGGGACCGAGACCGTGAGAGCATGGAAACTGTTCCTTTCACTGTGGAATCCCTTCTCGAATCTTCGTATAAATTTGGAGACGATGTTGTTTTGGTTGGAGGAAAATCTCTTACTACATATGGACTTAGTGCCTGTAGTGGAAAGGTGAGTGAAGACATTTGGGGGAATCAGAAAAAACTGGGATAAAAGAAAGTTTCTTGACTTGTACTGTTGGTACTTGAGGTTTATTATAATGTCCCCCTTTGGATAGATTTGTTTTAATAAGACAATTGTGAATTAGTAAGAGAAACTAAATTTACCTAAGAGTGACCTTCAGAGCCAGGAGTAGCAGGAGGAAAAGAATTAATAAACATGTTCTACTGTGGCAGGTGCTTCTAGCGTACATTATTTTTTAAATCTCTGTAAAATGATTACATATTTTATTCACATTTTTACAAGTGAAGAACCCTTCAAAGATTAATAATAATCCTGATGATAAGAATAATTATTGTTCATTTATTTATCTACTTTGGTCCTATAAAATTACCCAAGGGAAGAGCTTAAACTTAGTTTACAGATAAGGAAACAGACTTTAAAAGATTCAAAAACTTACAAAGTCAGATTTGCCTTAGATTTATCTGATGATAAAGTCACATTCATGACCTAGATTCTCTCCAACATTAACTCCTAGGATACAATCAAAATATAGCCTGCTTCTAAGATTGAGTCTTGTAATATAAATCCTTTATCAGGAGTAATTAAAAGGTCCTTTCTTAAAAAGGCAAAAACATCTTAAATTTTTTTATTAATTCTTTGAAAATTTCATATATTTTGATCATATTCTCATTCACTCTAACTCCTCCCTCTTAGCTCCTCCCACATCCATCTCTACCTTCCTAGTTGCCCCAACTTCATGCCCCTCCTTTTTAAAATAACCCATCGCCTCCAGTTTGTGCTGCCCATATACTCCTGAGTATGGGGCCATCCACGGGGGCACAGTTGACCTACCAGGAGCTATGCCCTTAAAGAAAACTGACTCTCTGTCCCACAGAAGCCATCAACTGTCCTAGCTCCTCAGTTAGAGGTGGGGGCTCATGAACTCTTCTCATTCCTGGCTAGGAAAAAAAAAAAAAAAATTCCTTAAAACAAATAAACAAGAGAAACTGCCTGAGAGCGCCTAGATCTGGCCTCCAAGTAGTGCTTCTGCTTCCACGTTCCTGCCTTGAGCTCCTGGCTGCTTTCCTCAGTGATGAACCATGATCAGAACCTGTAAGCCAAATGAAACCGTTCCTGCCAAAACAAAACCAAAAACCAACCAACCAACAACCTTAGCCTCTGGATGTGTAAACATTTTCTGTATACACTTAACCACAGTAAGGAAGAACAGGAATGTGACTTTTTGACCCTTCAGTTTTCAAACAGTGGCTCCTCATGCAGATGCTAGGCCCACAGCACCTTCTTGTGCATGCTTTTATGGCTTCCTTACCCATCTGCGTGTGGGTGGGATTGGGGACACCATGATGTCCTGACTCCTGCTTTAACTTCTGTTAACTCACCTGGGATTTTATTAATGCCATTTTTGCAAAGATACAGCTGGATTTCCATTTCTCCTTGTTTGTTCTGTGAAACTCCCCAGAGTAGGACTCAGAGTGCCGAAGTCCTTAAAATCACTTCCTAAGATAAATATTTGTTTGGACTTCGATGGTTCTAAGTACCTCATTTTAGGACTCAGTAATCTATGGATGCATCTTATTTCTTGGTGCTTCACATACATTTTTTAGTTTCACTTTTTAAAAATTACAGAGATCCTTCCAATGTGCTGATCTCCTGTGGCTTACTTCCTTTACTGGTTTTATATCTGTCTTTTCAGGTGAGGTATATCTGTTCTGCTTTGGGGTGTCGCCGGTGGGACAGTGATGATCTGGAAGAAGAGGAAGACATCCTTCTGCTGCAGCGCACCCAGAAGACAGTTCGTGCCGTTGGGCCTCGCAGTGGCAGTGAGAAGTGGGTGTCCATATCCATATGCTATTATTTAGAAGTTCCCCTAGAGCCAAAATTACTTGCAAATTCCCTTTGCAGAGATTCCATGAATTATTTAATGTAAAAGTGTACTTGTAAGAGAAACATGGGCCCTAGGTTGCAAGTGCCTTCATGGTTATTACTAAATACAAAATAACTTCTCACCATGTGCTTCAGGGTGTGCTAACCAGGGGTCCTGTAGAGTGACTGTGGGCAGGGGGTATTTTATTTTTAAGACAGGGTCTTACTGTGTTGTCCCAGCTGGCCTGGAACTTGCTATGTAGACCAGGCTGGCCTCAAACTCACAGAGATCTGCCTGCTTCTGCCACCGAAGTGCTGGGATTACAGGTGGATGCAACCAAATCCAACACAGAAAACTCTTTAAGACAAAGTATATGTGGTCTCTGGGTGTGGGCCTATCTGACTCCTCCTTGTCTAGGAGTTGGTTTCATAGTTTGTCTTCATTATTCCTGTCTTTATGTATTTTAAAAAAATTTTGCCATGCTGAGAATCAAAACCAAGACTTTGCGCATGCTAAGCAATGCTCTAGCGCTGAACTGTGCTCCCAGCCCCCAATTTTAGAAAAATCATTTTACTCTGCTTTCTTTAAGAGTATTAGTCATTCATTTCATCTAATACTTTTTTGTTTCTTTAAATAATGAGCCCCGTATATACTTTCTCCTCTTAAATATGTGTTTAAAATATTAGATAATGCTGATCCTTTATCATGTGCCAGTCTTTTCCAGTCTACTGCACTAAGTTTTAAATTGCCTATGTGGTAAAAATCACTTTAGATCATATCTTTATCTTTTGAAACTGAACCAGACTTTTAGACTTTGTCCAGTCTGATGCAATATAATTCAGTTGTCTTTCCTGAAATTGTTTGTTTTTTTTTTCTTTAAACCCACTTAAGAATGTATTTATTTCTGCTTTTGCTGTCCTGTGGATAGGGCTTGGCATCTGCTGACAGCCTGACCTTTTTTAACCTGCTGGGAGTTTATTAAAAGTCTGAGTGCTCAGTGAGAGCTCAGCTACCACAGGAGGAGAAATGAAGCTTAACAGAATTGTGAGTTGCTAGAACAGGAAGAATGTGGGGTTCTAAGAGCCAGACTCCTGAAGCCTTTTATATATAAAAAAAAAATTATGATAAAGTTATATATATATATATATATATATATATATATATCACTAGATCTCAGAATTCTTACAGGCTAAATATAAAAGATCAAGAAAATAAATCAAACTTTTTATCAACAATAAAAGCATGAAAAGCTAGACTGTTTTATATCTAAGTGACATGGCATTATGCTATTAATACTTAAGTGGCTTTTCTGTTTACCAGCTATAGAGGAAACATTGCTACTTTATGAATAAGAAGAGGGAAGCAGGAAGAGTAAGTGGCCTCCCATATCTGGTTCGTAGAGATACAGCATTGACGCTTGGGTGGTTGAGATGAGCTGAGGTTGCTTCCCAGAGGTCATGTTTCCATCAGAATCTAAGATTGGTGCATACGCCTTGCCTTGTACAGTGACTTACTGGGGCTGTATTTACTGCACTTCAGTGAAATGTGTCCAGATAGTTAAGAGATAAGGCAGATTGCATGCTACCTCACCTTAAGGTGCCTTGTTGCACTTTAAGAAAATCACTCTGTTTTATAAGTGTGAACACTTGCTAGTTTTTGAGAAAAAAAAAATCTGTTCCATGACTTCAATCCACAACCAGTTTCCACAGGATGGCCACGGTTCTCACAGTCCCTCTGTGCTGGGAACCAGCAGCGCACTCCTCTTCCTAGGCTTCTACTTCTCGTCTCAAAATTTTAGTATTTGCTTCTTCAGTCTGGAAGAGTTCTGTATTGTTTGGTGACTTTATTTAAATGTAAATTTCTAAAATACACCTTTGTAAATTTAAGGTGGAATTTCAGTGTTGGCCACTTTGAACTTCGGTATATTCCAGACATGGAAACTAGAGCCGGATTTATTGAAAGCACCTTTAAACCCAGTGGAGACAAAGAAGAGTCTAAAATTATTTCAGATGTGGAAGAACAGGAAGCCTCCATGTTGGACACGGTGATAAAGGTTTCCGTTGCCGATTGGAAGGTCATGGCATTTAGTAAGAAGGGAGGACACCTGGAATGGGAGTATCAGGTACTGGCAAGCACTGACAATTTCTGACTGTTTGCTCCTTCCCCTCCTTGACCATACTCATTGGTGGCAGGAAATAGTTCCATTTTGGATTCTCAACTCATTCCCTATGCTTTAAAACTGACTTTAAAAGACATCTTATGAGGAGGAGAGATTTCTTAATGGTTAAGAGCACATGCTACTTTTGCAGAGGACTGGAATTCGATTTCCAGCATTCATATCAGGAAGCTCATAACCCCTTCCTGTAACTCCAATTCCAGAGATCTGATGCCCTTTTCTGGTCTCCAAGGGCATCTGCACTCAGCATTCACGTATTTGTGTACACATACATACACATAATTTTAAACTAAAAAAAAATTTTTTAAGAAATTTTGGGGCTGGAGAGATTGCTCAGCAGTTAAGAGCACTGAGGGCTCTTACAAAGGACCCAGGTTTGATTTCCAGCACCCACATGGCAGCTAACAACTGTCTGTAACTCCATTTCCAGGGGATCTGACACCCTCTTCTGACCTCTACCAGTATTTTGTGACACAGGTGCACCTACCAACATGCAGGGATTACACTCATACACATAAAATAATAAAATATTTTTTAAAAAACAGAGATTTTATGGGGCTGTGGAGATGGCTTATTCAGCAAAATGCTTGCTGTGTAAGCATGAGGACCTGAGTTCAGATCCTAAGCACCCACATAAAAAGCCAGGTGCCATGGCACATGTCTATAATCCCAGCCCTGGGGAGGCAAAGAAAGGTAGGTCCATGGAGTTCACTGGCCAGCCAGCCTAGCCTAATCAGTAAGCTCAAGGTTCAATTAGAGAGCCTGTCTCAAAAACTAGAGTGGAGAGCAACTAAGAAAGATGGCCAACATGTGTGTGCATGCCTGCACATACACACAGCAGCACATATAAACAAAACGTACCACAAAGAAGTAAGTAGATAAATAAGACATTTTACAAGTTGACACCACTTAAATACAGCTTCAGTTGCTAAAATATTTTTCCATTTTTGTTTAGTTTTGTACTCCAATTGCCTCTGCCTGGTTGGTTAGGGATGGCAAAGTCATCCCCATCAGTCTGTTTGATGACACCAGTTATGCATCTAATGAAGAAGTTTTTGAAGATGAAGAAGACATTGTAGAAGCTGCCCGAGGAGCCACAGAGAACAGCGTGTACTTAGGTAAGTGCATTTACCTGTGACAGTACCACCGACGTGGTGATTGTGTTGTTCACCACTCCTTCCTGCTCCCAGAGTGCCTGCTGTCATTTCAACTTCTAAGTGCATTCTTTGACTTAGGTTCCCTTTACCGCTTAAGCTTTGATTGGCATCCAACTTGTTCTGTTCTGCAACCTAATTACTATGGTGTATACTTGTCATCTAAACCTATGTTAGAAAGGCTCAGAAATAGTCTCATGGTAGAGCATGATGTAAAATTTCTTACATACCTCTAGGCCCAAGTTGTGGCTATCTTTATTTGTAGTCACATATATATCTGTTTGTTGTCCCCTTATAGGTTAGGGCTTGTTTAATTCATTGCATCTATACAGCTTACCTGAAAAACAAAAAATTCTAGTGTGCTTTTGGGCAATTAAGCATATACTATAATACGCTCTGAAAATTCTGGTGTCTGTTTGAATTAGTTTGGGTCATTAAATATTCATAATTTTATAACCTAGTGCCACCCATACCTCAGCTCAGTCTCCATGAAAAGTTTGAAGGAATAAATGTCAAATGTGTGCTATGACAGCATTTTGCCAAAATATTAATCACAGCTCTGGAATTATAGTTGTTAAGATAAAGCTTTTTAAGGAAAAGTTACTTCATTTATTAGTTCCTTGAGAGTACAAAGACTTCCTATTTCTGAATTTTTCTGGGTGGATAGTTTTCTGTTTCTGAAAATGTGCTGTATTCGGTGGAAAACATTGTGTAGGCCTTACATGCATCTTCTGTTTTTGTTAACTTTTGCGCCAACTGTAAAATGCTTTGAGGATCTTTCTTTGAAACAAACTATATAGCACACAAAAAGAAGCAGAGTTCATTTAATTGCATTAAATCAAAACAAACCTTTAAAACTTCATTTTTGTGCTTGACTCAGGAATGTATAGAGGCCAGCTGTATCTGCAGTCATCAGTCAGGATCTCAGAGAAGTTCCCTAGAAGTCCAAAGGCCTTGGAATCTGTCAATAACGAAAATGCAATTATTCCTTTGCCAACTATCAAATGGAAGCCCTTAATTCGTAAGTCTCGATGAAACTTGACAAATACTGCTAACCTGCTTAGAGACCTTCTTTGCCCCAGTTTTGAGTGCTGCCGAGAGAACTGTTATATTACAGACATTACTCGGTTTTAATTAGCCTCTGGAGCATTTCTTCTTGGAAACGGCACTTGCTTCTATAGAAATGTTCTTAAAGTATCTCTCTGTACAGCTTAGAAAAACTCTTAATCATTTACTAGTTGTGTCAAAATGAAATCTAGCTTTTAGCGTGTCTTCTCAAGCACATCCAGATGTGGCAGCCCCAGTGTTCAAGTTTCCAGCACTTTGGAAATGGAAGCAGTAGGAATAGAAATTCAAGGTCATCTCTGGCTACCTAGAGAGGCCAGCCTGAGCTACACGAGACCCTATCTCAAACAAACAAAAGAAGAGTATGTAGGCTAAAAAATTACCTGGTATGGGGCTGGAGAGATGGCTCAGCTGTTAAGAGTACTGACTGCTCTTGCAGAGGACCTGGGTTCGGTTCTCAGCACCCATATGGTGTTAACAACTGTCTAAACTCCAGTTCCAAGGGATCCAGTGCCCGCCCTCTCTGACCTCTGTGGGCCTTGGATGACACGGGTGCACGTACACACATGTAGGCAGTACACTAATATAGATAAAATAAAAATAATAATTTTTTAATAACCTGCCTATCACATCATACTTTTGAGAAACATAAATGAATTGAATTCAAGCACTGTGCCATGCATGCCCTTCTTTAGTATCTTTCTATACCTTTTGTATGGTTTTCATTGCAAATGTTATATTTTAATTGCTTCTTTTTAAAAATTTTTAAATTTTAATTTTATTATAAGTGTATATGTGCATATGTGGTGGGTGTGTGTGTGGAGAGGGTGCACATGCCACAGCGCACATGTGGAGATCAGGGGACAACTTTGTGGAGTTAGTTCTGGCCTTCTGCCATTGTGTGGATTCCAGAAATGGACTCAGGCCTCCAGGCTCATGTAGCAAGCACCTTTACCTACTAAGTCATCTCGCTGACCCTTAATTGCTTCTTTAAATGACTCACTCTTCATTTGTTGTTCTGAGATATGATCTCATGATGTAGCCCAGGCTTATCTCCTGAGCTCAAATGATCCTTCATCCTCCCAAGTGCTGGGACTACAGATGTACGTCATGATGCCAGCTTCATGTTCTGTACTGGCTTATGTGCTGTCCCACAGCAAGTGTGTCGGGCTATTGTTGGTCTCCTTCTTTGAACTTAACTGCGGTGAATATCGGTCCATCGAATGCATGAGCCTATGCCTTTTATTAAAGTCGTAGCAGGTAATATTTGATCATTTTCTTTTAGATTCTCCTTCTAGAACTCCTATCTTGGTTGGGTCTGATGAGTTTGACAAATGTCTAAGTAATGATAAGTTTTCCCATGAGGAATACAGTAATGGCGCACTTTCAATCTTACAGTATCCATATGGTAAGTGTCATTACTTCTGGTGGAAAATACTATTTCATTTGTCTTATTCATTATTTGAAATTAATTAATAGAATTCAGTGAAGGTGAATAAATTGATAGGCATGTAGAAAAATAAAAAATTAGGAGGCAAGAAGCATACAAACTTCAAAGGCAGCCTCTGTTCAGCCTGTGTGATGCCATGTGCTAGGTGGACACACCTAACTTCCCTGTGTCTGGGTTTCTCTGTCTGTAAAACCAAGATAGCTATTCTAATACATATTCACTGGATTCTTGTGAGATGATGTATGTTGTACCTACCACATCATAAATATCAATAATAGTTTTTGTTATTAGCTCTCATTTAATTATCAGCTTTATGCCCCCTCCCGGTCTAATGGTTAGAATTAATTGCTCAGTCATTACTGAGCTATGTAATACAGACATTAAAATAACCTATATGATGAAGAAAACAACCAGGCATGGTGGCACAAGCCTATCACCCTCGCACTCAAGAGGCAAGGGCAAGAGGATCATGAGCCCAGGCTAGCCTGGGCTACATAATAAGGTTCAGCCTCAAACTAGGACCATTGATATGAGTTGTCACAAAAGTACTTGCCACCAAGCCTGATGACATGAATTCAGTCCCCAGGTCCCACGTGGTAGAAGGAGCCAACCCCTGCAAATTGTCCTGTGATCGCCACACATACCATGGCATGCACATACACACATATACACACACACTAAATAAATAAATAAATGTAATAAAATAATGAAGAAGAAACAGGTGTTTCCTAGAGAGCTACATGAAAATGAGCTAAAATTAATTTATTTTGGTTACACACTCAGAAAAATTAATACATAACAAAAATAGGTGAAACAAGATGGAATGTATTGCAATATAGCTTTTAAAGTTAGAGTTGAGAAGCTAGAGAGATGGCTCAGTGGTTAAGAGAGAAATCTGTTCTTACAGAGGACCCAAGTTTGGTTCCCAGCACACATCTGTTGGCTCACAACCACCTGTAACTCAAGCTTGGGGGATCCAGCGTCCTCTTCTGGCTTCCACAGGTGCTGCTCTTACATGCAGAACCCATACATAGACATAGATATCTACAAAATTTAAAATAATTAAAATTAGGATGTATTCACATATGGAAATCTTTTGAACAGTTAGATGTTTAAAAAATCCTCAACTCTGCATCAGACTCTAGATGCTGTAGCTGAAAAATCATTATGTAGCTCAAATCAATAAGAAAACAGAAGGCTGTGAACTAGAAACAGCAGATGTTATCTGAAGTTGTTCAAAAGACAGTTAAAGAGAATTGTCTAATCTGCTGCTGTGTTAAAATCGAAGATAAAAAGACATGCTCATTTCCAGCACAGATTCATGTTGACAACTTAGAGTGAATTAGAGAACATGAGGGGATGTTATCCTATGCTTGTATGAAAAGATTACGATAAAATTTGGTGTCTGATTGGTCCCAGTAACAGAAAACTTAAAACATCCTGAAGTAAACTTGAGTAGTAATTCTTGAATTTAAAGCATTTAATTAATTATTAATGAGGTGAGGAATGGGTTAGCCCTTACAAGCTTTTTCTATTTTCTAGTTTTATTATTTACTATAAAGAAAATTTTAGCTTTTTGTGTGTAGGCTGGTGGGATGTCTCAGCAGTTGAGAGTGCTATACCACTCTTTTTTTAAAAAATTTTATGTGTATGAGTGTTTTGCCTACATGTCTGTAAGTGTACGATTTGTGTCCAGTACCCAAGGAAGCCAGAAGTGGGCATCAGACCCTCTGGCTCAGCAGTTGAGAGTGCTATACCACTCTTTTTTTTAAAAATTTTATGTGTATGAGTGTTTTGCCTACATGTCTGTAAGTGTATGATTTGTGTCCAGTACCCAAGGAAGCCAGAAGTGGGCATCAGACCCTCTGGAGCTGGAGCTACAGGCAGTTGTTAGCAACCATGTGGGTGCTGGGAACCTAGTCCTCTGCAAGAGAAGCCAGTGCCCTTAACTGCTGAGCCATCTCTCCAGCCCCCTAAAAGGATTTATTTTTATTATTTTTATTTATGTGTATGTATGTGTGAGTGAATGCCATGTGTTTTTGGGAGCTTACAGAGGGCAGAAGGGGACATCAGATCCCTTGGAACTGAAATTACAGGCAGTGTGAGCTGCTGGGTGCTGGGAATCAAACTCCGGTCCTCTGAAAGAGCAGAATGCACTTTAACCTCTGAGCCATCTCTCCAGTACCTGTACTGTACCACTCTTGCAGGACCTGAGTTCACTTACAACACCTATATCAGGTAGCTCCCAACCACTTGTAACTCTAGCTCCTGAGGATCTCGCGCCCTCTTCTGGCCTTCATGGGCACTGCACTCACTCGTGCAAACCCACATTTCAGACTCACACATACACACTTAATTAAAAATATAATTTTTGAAGCCAGGTGTGGTGGCGCACACCTTTAATCCCAGCACTCGGGAGGCAGAGGCAGGCGAGTTTCTGTGAGTTCAAGGCCAGCCTGGTCTACATAGTGAATTCCAGGACAGCTGGGGCTACAGGGAGACCTTGTCTCAAAAAATAATAATAATAATTTTTGAAAGGTATTAATGTTTTATAAAGGAAGATTCAATACTTAAAGAAACAAAAAGTAATTAAAAGGAAGATGTTTTAAATGTGTTAAAGAGATTAAACTTTTTTTCTTTTGGTCTTTTTGAGACAGGGTCTCCCTGTAGCCCTAGCTGGCCTGGATTCGCTATGGAGACCAAGCTGGCCTTGAATTCACAGAGATCCGCCTGCCTCTGCCTCCCGAGTGCTGGGATTAAAAGCGTGCACCACCATGCCCAGCCAAGAGATGAAACTTTTAAAATTACATTTATTTATTTTGTGTGTATATGTGTGTGGCATGCACATGCTGTGCTCTCCAGGTCAGGACACAATGTGTGTTCTCTCCTTTCACCATTTGGGTCCCTAGGATTAAACTCAGGTTGGCAGGCTTAGCAGCAAGTGCCTTTACCCCTGAGCCACCTTGCTGGCCCCAAGAGAGAAAAACCTTTTTAAAAGACTTAGTTATGAATCATAGGACAATAGCTGATTTTTGGCAATTGAAGATGGCCTATTTTAGTTTGTTTTAAAACCCCTTCTAATATTTTTTTTAAGATAATGGTTATTATCTACCATATTACAAGAGAGAAAGGAACAAACGGAGCACACAGATCACAGTCAGATTCCTGGACAACCCAAATTACAACAAGAATATCCGCAAAAAGGATCCTGTTCTTCTCCTACACTGGTGGAAGGAAATATTTGGAACAATTTTATTTTGCATCATAGCAACGACTTTTATTGTACACAGACTTTTCCATCCTCAGCCACACAGAGTAAGATGCTGTTTTGAATCTATTTCAAAGTGTTTGATATACAGAAAGTGTACTGGAGGGGGAGGATAATGTACTTGAATTCTACCATAGAATCACTTATGCTTTTACAGTTAGAAGATACATTCTGGGAAATGTGTCACTAGGCAATTTCATCATTGTATAAATACTTTCAGGTATATTTGCACAAATTTTGATGGTGTAGTCTACTGCACAATAGGCAGTGTGGGGTATAGCCTATCATTACTAGGCTACAGTCCTATATAGTGTGTGACTGTGTTGAATACTGGTACTTCAACGGTGTTAAATATTTGTGTATCTAACCATAGATAGGGCACCGTAAAAAAAAAAAAAAAAAAAAAAAAAAAAAAAAAGTAACCACATATGTTTTTCAGCCCCATTATCATTTTTATGGGAGGGCTGGAGAAATGGGTCTTCCAGAGGACCTGAGTTCAGTTTGTAGCACTTACATTGGGTGGTACATAACTACCTATACCTCCACTCTAGGGGATCTGATGCCTTCTTCTGTCTCCTATAGATACCCATACACATGGCAACATCTAGTACACAGACACACACACACATACACTTAAGTCAAAATACAATATATCTTTTAAGAAATAGTAATAATTCCATGAGAACCTGTGGGGTACTGTGCTGGAGATGCCTGATTGGCTGTGATGCGGCACAGCGGCAGCCTCATTTCTACATCCTTACTCCACTCAATCTTCAGTCCTTTGCAGTCTGGCCTCCACCCCTATGACTCCATAAAAGTTCTCTTGACAAAAGCGTTAGGTGATCTTCTTTTATTATTATTTTTTTTTGTAATATGTATATGAGTATTTTGCCTGCATGCACCTGTGCATCCAATGCCCTCAGAGGCCAGAAGAGGGTATCAGACACCCTGGAACTAGAGTTATGGATAGCTGTTTGCAGTCATACAGGTGCTGGGAACTGAACCTGGACCCTCTAAGAGCAGCCAGTGCCTTTGTTTGTTTGTTTTAGCCAGGGTCTCCATGTAGCCCCAGCTGGCCCTGTGTAGACCAGACTGGCCTTGATCTCGCAGAAATCCACCTGCAGCCAGTGCTCTTAACTGCTGAGCCATCTCTCCAGCCTTAATCTTTTTGTTAAATATGGTGGACATTTTCCAGTCCCCTGGCCAAGCTTCTCTGTATTTGACACTTTTCTTTGGCTTTTCCTCCCGGACTTCCTCAACCCCAGGCTCTCCCATCTCCTCCTTGAAAGTTGTGTGGATTCCTCAGGACCTCACCTTCCTCAGGCTCTCCTGGCCACCACAGTACACCTCAGGGCTTCTCAGAGTCTCTTCAGGTGGTCTCCTGTACTTTTCAGCTCCAAGCATCTTATAAAGAGACTCCCAGGGTCTTACTCGGAAGCCCAGGCTGACCTGGAACTGATGGCAATCCTCCTGCCTCAGCCTTCCAAGTGCTGGGATTAGAGGTATGAGCCTGGATCCAAATTCTTTCTCTGGAGCAGCTGTCTAGTAAAAACTACACAAATAGCTCAAATGAGCCATGTCTCAGACTGAGCGCATTCCCACCCCCATTCCACCCCAGCCTGTTCCACTGGCATTTCTGACTCAACATAAAGATCTGCACCCTCACCAGAGCTGAAGTCATTCTCTCCTTCATCAGTACCAGTTCTTCAAAGGTCTTCCTCCTAAATATCCTCAGTTGTGTTGTCACCTTCAAAGCTCTGTTTCTATTTCCTCGATACAAACACCATCAGACCTCTTGTGGATTACTGAAATATCCTCCAGCTGGTCTCCATGCTTCTAGTCCTCTCCCTGTCTGTAAGATGTTCTCCATCCCTCTCCACCAGCATCTCCTGACTTTAAAACCTCTAATAACTGACTTCTATTTTTGCTAGAATAAAGTTCAGCCTTCTTAAAATACGCAAGGTTCTGAGTGAGTCATATCCTGTAGGCTCCTTACTCACCGGAATACTTGGATCCTTTCTTCCCACATACCTAAATCTCTCCCACCCCTTTTCTCCCCTCCTTTTCCTCTCCCCTCCCCTCCTTCTCCTTTTCTTTCCCCTCCCCTCCCCTCCCCTCCCTGAACTTTCAGTTCCTCAGTGCTCCCCCTAAGCCTAGGAGTGCTCACCCTCTGACCTTGCCTCTGTACCTTGTCCCCCTCACATGATTGACTCCTGCATATCTTCAAGTTTGAAATTAGTTTCTTTGTTCTCTGGGACAGCCGCCTTAACTTCCTAGCTCTGAGTCAGCTTCTCTGCCTTAAGTTCAAAAACACCCTGTCTTCCCTTTCTTAAGCTTTTAACAGGGAATGCATAATTTTTCTCCACCTTTAGATGGCATTCTACTGGGGCCAGTATACTTGTTTGCTTCCAGATCCCCAGTCCCTTCCTCACATAGTACCTGGCAGAACAAGAATCAGTTACCCAAATAGATGAGCCTCAATTACCCTTGCCCTTGACCATAATAATTATTAATATCCTCTGCAAAATCTTTTGGTGTTAGTGAAGCGACTTTGCAAATGAGACATTGCCAAGTTCAGTTTCCTGTTCTCAGAAGCATTTTTAAAGCATTTACAGAGTAATTGGGAAAGAAATAACTTTAGTCTTGCCTGGACAGATGCGTTCATTCTTGCATGCAGGCTTTCTCTTTATATCCTGCTATGTTAGACTGCATATAACATAATCTACATTATTAGAAACAAAATCCCCTTCATGACTAGAGGGATGACCATGGGAACGTAAGCCTTAACTGCAATAAAGGAAATGCTGCATCTTATGTTTCTAATGCTTTGTTTTCAGTAGTATTTATTTTTCAGTAGAATAGCCTAAGGTTCTTAGCTAACTTCAGTTGGGGTTTGCGCTGGTAGTGATTCTACTTTCTACCTTATAGCAAAGGAAGGAGTCTGAAACTCAGTGCCAAACTGAAAATAAATACGAGTCTGTGAGTGGCGACTCCAGTGACAGCAGCTGGAACGACATTAAGAACTCAGGATACGTGTCCCGGTAAGAGTCTTAGGGGGCATCAGTGCATGCAAGTAGCTTTTGATGGATTAGGTTCCAAGTTTAATTCCCGACTTTGTTGTTTACTAGCAGAGTCCTTAGGTAAGATGATACTTAGAAAGCCAGTCATCATATGTGAGACATTACCCTTTGTAGCAGATGCAATACAGGAAGATAGTCCAATTGGCCCTTGGGTAGGACGTGATCTGTGTTGGCTTTTGCATTCAGGGAGAAGGATTTATGCTGAGCTACGTTGGCTAGTTATTTTTAGGAATGTAGATAATCACTCTTCATTCCCTGTGAAGGTAATTGGCCCATGGAGGGTTGGCACCTATTATGTTCCCTCCTTAACTCTGTTCTCTAACCAGCTGAGGCAACCACTAAATTAATATGAGTGTACAAGTCATGAGGTAATAACTTACCTTTAAAAGAGAGACACCATAATGCATCTGATTCGCCACTCCCATGTGGCTGGAGTAATTTCCACAGCAGGCATGTATTCACTTATTCATTCACACAGCTGTTCAGTAGACATTGGTCAGACCTTTGACTTACCAGGTAGTGTCCGGGTTCTGGAAATACAAACAGAAACAGTGATGTTTTCCCCACATTTATTGCTCCCATGAGACAGTGGTGGTGCTGAGACAGTGGGCTGTATACACAGGATGGCAGAATGCTGAGATTAAGATTGAAGGGTTGAGTATAGTATATGGACAGAGCTGGGGGAACATTGAGACAGGGGTCTAGAAAAGCTCCATGCAGGTGGTGAGACTCATTACGTGCAAAGAAGCTGTCCCAGGAGAGCACGTGGCAGAAGCCCTGAAGCTTTGAGAAGGTGTGGTGCCAGTCAGGCACCAAAGGGAGACAGGCTGTAGTGTCCAGCTGCAGGCAAACTGGGGATAGGCCAGCTTCTGTCTAAATACCTTGCGTGGTGAGGCAACGCTACCAATGTCAGCTTTGGTTTCTACAAAATGTTCTGATGGGGCTGGAGAGATGGCTCAGCAGTTAAGAGCACTGACTGCTCTTGCAGAGGACCCAGGCTCAGTTCCCAGCACCCACTTGGCAGCTAACAACCATCCATAACTCCAATTCCAGGGGATCTGATGTCCTCTTCTGACCTCTGTGGCATTACATGACATGGGTGCACTTATACACATGCAGACAATACACTCATACACATAAAATAAAAAATAAAGATTTTTTAAAGTTCTGACTAAAAATATATTTACATATGATAAGATTGGTTACATTTATTGACATAAGATTTGCAAGCACTGAAATCCAGTTAAAAGTACTGGGGGTTTTGTTGATTTTGAAATAGGGTCTCACTATGTAACCCTGGCTGACCTAGAACTTGCTTTGCAAACCAGGTTGCTTTCAAACTCACAGAAATCTACCTACCTCTGCCTCCTGAATGCTGGGATTAAGGTGTGTGTGCCACCCCTCCTGGCTTAAAATATTTTTTTCAGGTGTTATTTTTTGTTTTTCAATGTTCAGTTTCCTTTAATGATCCCCATCTCCCTAAAGGGTGGGTATAGGCAACTAGGCGATGGCAGGAGATGTTCACTTGAAGATCTTGCCTTGATTCATGGCTTTGCCCATGTGCTGGAGTGCCCCCTCCCAGGAAAAGTACTCTCAAACCAGGGTCCAGGCGTCCTTGCTGCCAGGATCCAGTTCTGCCATGTTTATGACATGCCAATCTGGACTCAGTGGAAAGGCAAGCTCTTGGCCTTGGAAGACCCAAACTCCAGAAATGGAAGTGCTATTGTTGGTTCCAAAGGAGATGACACTGGCAAAGGCATCCTTCCTCACTTTGTCTAATCGCTGGAACATTCCAGTGATGAGGGTGGAACTCATGAAGGTCTAAGTGAGCTCTTCAGGGAAGCAGTACTCAGCATGCCACGGGACCAGCCATCCTTATCAAAGTACTCCCAAAATATGATAGTGCCACAGACGTGGTGTCCTTCTTGGAGTATTATGCTGAAATTCATCCAGCACAAAGGTACTCTTGGGCAGGTGAGCACAGAGGTCCTTGGCCTTGGGCTCAGCAGCCAGTGCTTGCTCACATTCATCCATCTCCTCAGGAACTGGGACAGCTGCCTTTTTCTCCTCTTTCCACTCAGCCTGGGGCTTCTGCTTCTCCTCCCGGGAACCCTTTTCTTTCCATGTGGGATCCTTTTTAGGCTGGCTCTCTGCAGGCTGCTTAGCATCAAACTGCACCATCTTCTCACCCAGCTTCCCCTCCCCCAAGACAGCCCTGAACTATGGCTGATTAATGCAGGTGAGGAACCAGCGGTTGGTATTGGGAAAGGCCTGGTGAAAAGCAGGTTCTAAGACCTGTTTGTAGAACAGGGTGCAGACTACTGTGATGTCATCCAGAGTCACTTGTTTACCCACCAGAAAAGTCCTTGTCTGCAAGTAAGTATCCAGCAGCCCCAGAGGTCGCCTCACCTCCTCCTTTGCATTTTTAGTGGCCTGTTTGTTGTGGTGCATGATGCCCGCCCGCGGTGGGGAACACCTAGGTGCTGGCTGGAGGGACGGTGTCACTATTGGCAAAGCTCACCCACTGCACCCCGGAGCTGCTGCCTCTAGAGTGCTTCCTGGCAGCTCCTCATGCTCACATAGTAGGTGATGGTATTGCTTGCAAACACACAGAATCCAGCCTCATCCTCAAATGTTGGAACCTTGTCTGCAGGAAATTTGTGGAGAAATTCGGGGGTGCAGTTGGTTTGGCCAAAGTTGGAAGTGGGGTAGTGCGGAGAGCACATGGACCTGAGCCCTACTGTTCTGAGCAGCGAACTATGAGAGCCTCCAGTTTTCAGGATATGTATACAAGTTCCCAGCCGCCATGGTGATTCCATGGAGAAAGGGCAGTGTTGTTATTTTTGAGACAGGGTCTCACTATATAGCCTGACTGTCCTGGAACTCTATGTAGACCAGGCTAGCCTCAAACTTACAGGGATCTGCCTGCATTTACCTCCCAAATACTGGGCTTAAAGGCAGGCATCACACTACACTTGGCCTAAAATACACTTTTAACAGAGTAAAAAAAAAAAAAAATACCAAAGAAAACAAAAAGAGAATTAAGAATATGCTATTTTGGTAGCTGATAAAAAGTTTTAGAACAGATCATTCATACAGTTGCTGTAATGACAAGTGGTTGCTAACTAAACAAAGCTTTCTATTTTTGTTTCTTCCCCTGTAAAACTTGTGAGAGTGTTTGCTTCAGTTATGCATATTGAAGAACTAAGAGCCCTGTTAGCAGAATTCAAACTGATTTTCATGAAATATGTTCTGGGAGTTGACTGGTTTATATACTTTTATATAATAATATAATACTGAATTGTTTTTACTGCTATATTTAAAGCTATTTCAAACTTTTAAAATTTGTGCCTTTTTTTAAAGATACCTAACAGACTTTGAGCCAATTCAGTGCATGGGTCGTGGTGGCTTCGGAGTTGTCTTTGAAGCCAGAAACAAAGTAGATGACTGCAATTACGCTATCAAGAGGATCCGTCTGCCCAATAGGTAATGGATGATACTTTTAGTAAACTTGGATCTACTCTCGTAGGCAAAATGTCCTTCTTATACTCTGTAGTCAATACAGGGAATGTAGTTTCTCATGTTCCAAATCTTTGGTTCTAAGCAACAAGTTGTCTTAAAGTTGTGAACTATGTAGATTGCTTTAAAATGTGGTCTTGAGGGCTAGAGAAATGCTCAGCAGTTAAGAACTCTTGCTGCATAATCATAACCAGAGTTCACATCCCACCACCCGTATAACAAGCCTGGATAACTGCATAATCCCAGATGAAACGGGCCAGAGACAGGAGGATACCTAGGGCTTGTTGACTTCCAGCCTAGCTGAAAATATGTGAATTCCAAGTTCAAGGAGAGACCCTGCTTCAAAAGGAGTAAGACAGAAAGCAATGGAAGACAGAGGACACCCAACACCTTCTTCCCTGGCTTCTCCATACCCACATGTGCATAAAACTCACACACACAGGTATATACATGTAAATAAGTAATTAAAAAAAAAGAACAAAAAAAAAAAACTATAGACATAGATTGCAGCATTTAAAAATCATTTCTGTTATTTATTTTTTTTTCCAGTTAATTCTTTATTTAATAACCACAAACTTAGAAGAAGCATTTCATTACAACAGCATTAACCTATTCAATAACATTTTTCTGAGCT